TTTAGACTTTAAAGTATTAAAAAAACTTAAAAAAGAAAAAGATTTAAATTTTGAAGTTCTTTTCTTCATTTAAATGTCTGTAAATTATAGAACTTTCGTTTTAGCACTTCAAGATTGTGTGACTGAAACTGAAAATGTCTTAATTTGTCAAAAAATTGATCAATTATTTGATGAAAACCAAAGTAATCCTTTTGTTGTGACTGAATTACTCCAAGAACTTCTCATATTGAATACCTTAAGTTATTCAGTTGAAAATCATAAATTTTTTATTATTGCACAAGCTTCTAAAAATGGGCTTATACGTATTTCTACAACAACACTATTAAACATCTTTAGTACTTATGACAAAAGTTATCTTTTACTTCACACAAACACTATTCAAAAATCTTTAACAAACCCATTTTCTAATTCATTAAATACTTTATGTGCATTACGTACTTTAAAATTATATATTAATCAGTCCACGTATCCAACATATTTAAATTGTTGTTTAGGTATTCTTAATAAAGCACCTCAACGCCCTTCAAATGAATCAAGCGTTTTAAGACAAACACTTGGTACTCTTCCATTATTTCTTCCTTATTTAACACCTCAACAACAAACTTATCTCTATCATGAAACAATTAAACTTCTACAACTCAAAAACTCAGTGGTACTTGAAGCTGTTGTTGCAGTATTAACTCATTTTTCAAACATGACAACAGTTAATATGTTAGATTGTATTGAATTATTATTAACATTATTATCTAAGTTATTAAGATGCAAACCCATAGGACAAATACAAAATGTTAGTTATCCATTTCTCATATCAAATATCCTTCGATTATTATATAATTTCCCTTCCCTTCCTAAAGGTTATGAACTTATGAAAGATATAGTTGAACGATTTGCTCATCAACTTACAAATGGTATTACTTTTACTATATTATTTAGTTGTTTAAAATGTATTCAAAAACATTTTCCTTTAAATATGCCTCAATTAGAAATATTTGCTCTAAACACTCTTTTAGCTTCTAACAACTCTTTGTTTCATCGTGCTTACCTTAAAATTATTTCTCTTTCTTCTCAATACATCGAACATGAACAACCTCAAATTTTAAAGTTATATCTTGGCAATGATCCTCTAACATCATTAGAAGCATTTAAACTCCTTCTTCCTCAGTCAATGCCAATAGTACAACTCCCACAAAATTTATCAACTTTAAACGAATATACAAAATCTAAATTTTCTGAAGCTTCTATTCACTTTATTGATAAGTTTCAACAACCATTAAATCTTGATTCAATAATTTCAATTCTCAATTGCTTCCCTTCAAAAGCTCTGCTTAATCATGTAGCTGATTTTCCATTAAAAGAGTCACCACACCTTATTTCTCCTTCAAACTCTATTTCACAAATGTATTGTACTATTCATAATATTAAAATACCTTTTTCATCAGAACAAACAACATTACTTCTATTAACTCTAAAATCAGAATCAAAATCAAGTCTTCCCTTGACTATATCTTCTAACACCATTTCTTTAGAAATGAAACAACGACTTCATGAATATAAATCTCTTCAGACTGATCCCTCTTAATACTTTATATAATCAGTCATTATTTCTTTATTTTTTATTTTAATCCAAAAAAGTATCTATCTTATAAAAACCAAAAAGCTTTATAGAGTCAATTCTTAATAACCTGCTCAGTGTTGTTCGTGATGTCCAAGATGAGCGTGGGCAGCTTTAATTGCTTCAAGAGCACGTTGGATTTCATCTCTCTTAGCAAGTCCTCTTTTATGTGTTCCAAGATGTTTTTTGGCATATTTAAGTGCTTTCTTATCAAGTCCTCTTCTAAGGAGATCCATCATGTGTCTTTCATAAGCAGAAAAACCACAAGCCTCTCTAATAACATCATTAACAACGTGCTTTCTTTTTGTAACACCATAATGTCTTTTGGCAGTTTTCATAGTATGAACTGGGTATCCTCTCTTAAGTCCAACAGCAATTCCTCTGGCCATTTCACACCAATTAAAGAAATAAGTTCTTATTTTATTTAGTTATAGGGTTTACTTATTTTATTATATTTATAGTTAAAAAAGCTATAATTCTTAAGATATTGACTCTATCACTTACTTCATACATAAAATAACTCCAAAACAATTACTGTAACAAAAGAATAAAACCATTGATAAAACACCAATATACCCTTCTTAATTCAATTAATGAGCTTTCTTAGCGACAGCAATTTTAGCAGCAGCATTAATCTTTCTGTTAATGATACTGACTTGGAATTTGTCAAAATCAGTCATCTTTTCTCTGAGAATTCTCTTTTCAATTGCTTTACCAGTAGCAGTTTTATTAAATCTTTTAATAATAGCATCTTGAGTGAATCTGAGGCAAAGTTTCTTATGAGTCATACCTCTAGTAACATTGTTAACAACAAATGAGGTAAGAGAAATAGTGTTAAAATTGACAACTTGTCTTGGAACTCCAGTGATA